GGTCATTAGCCTTTGCAGACTGACTCCAGAAGCCCACGTTTAGTCCTCTATATACTCAACTTTCAGTTGCAAGACCCAATGAGCCTCACAATGAAACTATCAATGTAAAGCCAACCTTCTGTAAGGCTGAGATATAACCCCCAAAGTTGCACATTCTATTTGTAGGAGTTTTCTGTTTCATAATGGAAAAAGTTGCAAGGTTTCCATTCTGGGAAGCCATCTTCTTTCCTAATGATTGGCATTCAGGATATCTCCCTCTCTTGAGATTTTGCCCTTCTGTACACTCAGATCCAGTCCTATATCCAAAGGGGCTGCCATATCAGGATGTAGCTCATCACCCATCTGAAAGATGGGACCACAGTAGTTGTTTATCCAGGTGTATGACCTACATGCAAGTGTAGGATTTGAATATTTCTATAAAAATTAGTCTTAGGAAAGGGGGGGTCTAAGTATTATAAGACAGTTTCATGGAAGCCCATCACTTCAGTCATGGTCCCTGTAAATGAATGTAAAGTGCCCTATGTGCAGGCCTGCTTGTATGGGTATTTGGCAGTGTACTCTAAAACCTTGCGTTCTTCCAGTACAGTTTACCTAGGTTCTTACAGAGGATGAGCTATTCCCAAATAAAACATACACTCATTGGGTCTGCAAGGATTTTCCACTGCGTCATGGTTCTAATGTTGAGTGAAGTGTGTTCTTAAAGATGTTCCAAGTATTTCATTTCTAAGTTTGTATTCAGGATGATTTCTCCCATGTCAGAAGGGTGTTTCAGCTAAATGTTCCCTCACAGGTGTTAGATTCATGCTCCTTTCTCACTGAGTTGTTAGTACAGCAGGGTGGGAGCCCACATCCACAGGCCCTTCCAACAAAGATTCAAGTGTCATGTTTTAACAATTCTTGTCATGTTCCATGAGAACCCCTTAGGGTTCTACTTTAAATTCAAGTTAAATATTTTTTCTAAATACTTTATTTTTATGGTTTGCTTGGAGTCAGGAATTGTTTATAGGTGAGTCCTAGAACTCCATATGTCTCAGAAAAGCACATTTTCTACAACCTCAATGCGAAATGTTGATCAGCATTGACATTTCTCTTGGTGCAGCATTCAACACCAACTCACTTGACAGAAGAAAGAGGGTCACTGATTTAAAATGGTTCTTTTGGGACAGCAGAGGCTCCTTTGGGAGGCGGATCTTTGTTGTTTGGGAGGTTTTAGGTTTCTGGTTGTCTAATGTCTTTTGGTTGCTCACCCTGTGACTTTCTGACTCAGGGACTCCTTAGATCTTTGCTTTCTGCTAATCAATGATTGCAATAAAGCACCCGAGTCTGGAGAATTGAATTCTATTAATTACTCTATCAATTACTCAACATACTCATTAGTAGATTTATAGAAAAAGAAGTAGTAGGGTAAAAGGAAGTGAGCATTCAAGCCAAATTAGACTTTTTATAATTATCTTCATAACACTGTATCATTTATTTTTTAATTTATTTTTTTTAGTGTTCAACAATTCATCAGTAGCGTATAGCACTCAGTGCTCATCACAGCACATGTCCCCCCCTCAATGCCCATCACTTCACATATAAAATTTTTCTAAGTGAACAATTAGCCTCATCTCTCCAAATAAATGCATTCTTTGGGGGACATGTACTTATGTGTTAGACTTCTCGTTTTTCCAAAATGATTATGTGATAAATAACAATTCACTGGTTAATCATAAATCTAATATATTGCTTTAATTTCCTTTAATTTGGCTTCACTTTCCTATTAATATCACAGATAATCAATAGATTACCATCAATAGTGGGTACTGAAGCTTAAGGATGAAGACTCTTACCTTAGAAGTGTGATTTTGGGTGATTTGCAGGTTAGACCACACCACTGTCAGAATAGAAGATGGACAGATGAACCAGGATGCTCAAGCTAGAAATGGTCTTACATGTTAAGGAAGGGTTCCACAAGGGGGAAGAGTGAAAACATTCCTCAAACTTCCCAACTAACTTAGGAAAAGCCTGATTGTTCCATAGCTATGGTAAGAAGGAACCTTGCTACTTGTCTAAATATCTTCAGTTGATCAGGGACAATACAGTTTTGTAAATACACATTTGCAAACCAACCAATCCTTGGCTGCCCTCACTTCTGAAAGTCAGCCAATTAGGGTGGGACTCACCCCAATAAACGCTCCTCTGAGTGCCAATCAATCGACAGCAGTCTCACTGAGTAACCCCACTTTAGGGTGATATCCATCCACTGCCTTCCAGTTCCTGAACTCCATGCTGTCCCTGTCCCCAGAGATTGTTGGCATTCTGCTCTGCGCTAGAGACAGAACCTGACAAACATGACTTTCTTACTATAGTAAGCAGTAGGTTTGGCTTGTATTTCTATTTCAGATACTATGCGGTGCTTGTATCATCTTTAGACAGTTCTAGAGCGTCCACTGAGATCATTTTGAAGACCCTCTACAGGATGCTTGGACCACAGTATATTCACTGGGCCCCAAAGTCCAGTTGCACTCAGGATCTGCCCCCAGGGGTGCCAGTCTCAGCAGCTCCAACCAGCCCCACTGGGCTCTTCTTGCTCTCTGCATTTTGTTATCCTAGGACTTGTAACCAAAAGTGTCTTCATTTAAGGTCTTTAGGCTTAGGTCTTTGTATCAAGTACCTAGATCTTTGAATGAGATATATACCATTTGGTAATTGACTTAGATCTTTGGGTAAGCCCATTAGATCTCTTGTCCTGGAGGTGTACCATTTAGCAAATATTTTTTATGCCCTTAATGTACTTAATTTACTGCTACTTGCTTTGCTTTTGCTGTTATTTGTCTATATGTGCAAGGCCTTGGTTTCACTGGGTAATTAAAAAAAATTTTTTTTCCTGGAGAGCCTTTCTTTCAGTTGAAGTAGAAAGGATTGTTCTCTAAGGCATTGGCTTGATAAGCTACTAATCCATTCCAAGCCAGGCCCAAGGACTAATGTTTTGAGGACTGTTAGACTGAAGACCAATTTGTGGAAAGGCAATTAAAAGAAAAAAAAACATTGCTGTGTATTTATTTAATAAGAGGGCATATTTATGTTTACAAACAAGTTTGAAAAACAAAAGGAAAACATGTATGCTTCTACCTGTTAACCTTTTTCAAAATACCAACAGCCCTCATGCTGTATGAAGGTTTCTAAGGATTTATTAGAAA